GCTTGAAGTATAGAAACTAGCACACATAGTTGTTAACCCCAAAATAAAAAAAATATAAAAGATAAACTATGCAAGGATTTTTAGTAGCATTGATTATTTGTTAAATTCCTTGCACATCAACCCTTCATATTCCAATCTTAAAGAGATTAATGTGAAAGCAGTTCCTTCCTCTTAGGAGCGCTCTTCTTCTTTAGGGTTCCACTAGCTATTTACTGCTCGCACTGCTATTACTATCCACCTCCTGGAACCATTCATTTTGATAATATCCTCATTAAGACGAGTGTGCCAAGCACAAAAATAAGCTTGTAATTAAGAGATGCTGGGGATTCTGGAGAAAACGAAATGCAGAGTGAGTTTTAAAGGTCCTTCCTGTGGTAAAAAAACACACAAAAAAACCCTAAAAAATTAATGAATGAATAAATAATAAGAAAAAAGTTGCCTGGAAGCTGCATGCGCCAGTTTGCTATGAGTTCACTCATATGTACACACTGGAAGGAAGACAGCGTTCCCAAATATTAATAGCTGATAGATAAAGGAACACTTTCACACATGAGTATGCACACACACACACACACCATCTCGTTGACACATCGAGCGAGGTAATCTCCCCTCCATTCTGCCTTCCAAGCACACTTCCTCTGCCTGGAATAATTGCTGCTTGGCTGCTTGTCTGGAAGAGCGAGCGGCTCCGTTCATTAGTTGCTCTAAATATCAGACACAGCATCACTTTTAAAGGCTTAATTTCTGTGCAGTCACAGGCCCCCTCTCTGATCCTCCCCCGTTGAGAGACGCAGAGTATGCTCCTGTTCTCGCAAGCAATGACCTAAATAGATAAGTGGTAACGAACGGGGGCCTTCATTTTTTGGCGGCGTGGAGAAATTAACCGACCGAGATGACAGCAGACCAAAGGGAAGGCGCCTACGGTCGGGGCGCGTCTCGATTCGAGTGGACTGACTGTAGTGGTGGGGACAGTGGAGACCTGCAGCATCCATTTTCTTGCAAAAGCACAAAACAAGACCATCGTTTCCATGGAGACCAACAAACAGACATATTACTTAAGGGACTTCTGGGCTTCCTGCGGTGCTCAATGATTGGATCGTTCAGATGCTGCAGACACAGTACCTGGGGGAGAGATTACAGCGCTGCTCTTAAGAGCTGCGAGGACAGGCTGTGTTCTGCTGACTGGATCAGACCTGAAGCCACTTCATACACGGACAATATGCAATCAATCTGACTGTAATGCCATGTTTTACAGATGAGGGCTAAAGAATAAGCTCTAATATAAAAAGATCAGGTAAATTGGGCAATGACAGTCTTTAATTCTAGTGACAGACAGATTTACACTAGAGCCCGACCGATTTGGAAATTTTGGCTATCACATTTACCGATATTGGGAAGGTAAGGCTTAATGCCGATAACCAACGTATTGGCTGAAAATTTTCTTTTTGCTTTGTTCACCCCCAAGAATTTAAGTTACTTTTAAACCTGATTTAACGCTTGGAAGTCTTGAAGCAGTCTTCCTAAAGTGCATTCACATTTTCTATCCTCCACTATTCACCATAAAGTTATCAATTGTGTTACCAAAATATAAATTAAACAAAGAAACAACTTTCCCTGTTCACTGTTTACACAAAGTATGGTGAAGGTCTAATCAGTACTGACCAGAGCAGCATTTTTTTTCATTGTAGAGAAGTAAAGATTTCACACAAACAATGCATTTCATTGAGGACGACAAAGATAAAGTTACTAACACTGATGTATTTCACCTCCACTTATTGTTCTGGATAAAGTTTTACAAGGCAATAGTCTATGCTAGGTTATCTAAACGCTAACTTGCTAACTTGTGAGGCATGTAGCTAATGACAAGCAGGTTGGAGGATTGAAGAGAATTTATGTGCTGAAAGTGAATCTTAGTGAACGGCAATGACTTGAAAGTAGTTTTCATGCGCACTCTGCTGAATACATCGTACGATTATGGCTCGTTCCCAACATTTTAGGGGGGAAAATTAGAAGTACTTATATCGGCGCATAATGGGACAATTATCACGTATATATATGTATATATGTATGTATATATATGTCCTCAAACACCTATATCGGCCTAAAATATCGGCACTATTGATATATCGGTCAGACTAAATTACACCATATATATTTATCTTGATATAAAGGAACTGCAATAGTGAATGAAATCCTGGATCTTATCAAGAAGAACTTGATGTTCGTCAAGTTTGAAAAAGAACCACAAACCAAGCTTTTTTCCACCTACAAAAGCTGCATTTTAAAAGCTTGATGCATTCAGCTATGCAGGTAATTCTTAGGAAAATAAAACAAAATGGAGCAAACACTTTTTTAAAAATGCATCTTCAGATACATGTTCAGTGTTTTATGGTAAATCTGCCTATGGTATTTCTGAAAGCTGGCCAGATACTGAGGCTCACTAATTTAAAAGCAATGGCATCAATGATATAAAATGACAAATAGTAATAAAATGATGGCTTACGTGAAAAAATAAATCAAAATCTATGTTTTTTTTTTTTTATTATGGTCAGTAATGCTTTTGGAATTCCACAAGGGTCAATTCTCAGTCCTTTTCTGTTGACTTTAGATTATGAGGACAAAACAGTTATTCTTATGGCAGTTCCAGATTAAGGCTAAACTTTATAAATGAGATATTTTCAAGCCAGTGTGACAGTAAGTCCTTTGAAAGGCTTACCTTCACTCTGAGTCATTGAGTTGTGCACAGAATACACACCCAACAGATTCAATGTCATCATATAATGGTCTCCTTACCATACAGAGAAATAAATTAAAAATATGCTCATATTATCTTTATTCATTATGACCCTGTTCACTAAACTCTATGCTAGAAAAACTCACGATGGCTACAACCTGGAAAACCCACTACGTGGACTGGAAATGAAACCATTAGCCTGTTTAGAAGGACAAACAGAGTAGAGTAGCTGTTAAAGAGGCTTAGATATCCAACATATACAGCAAAATGAAGAGCTTCTTTCTTTGCATCCACTTGTTGAGGAATCAGACACAGACTCAAAAACCTGAAAGTCTTTAGGGGTTGTCATTATTATTTCTCTTTTGGGGTTTAAAAAATATGATAATGTTTTATGAAGGTGAGGGTTGGTTACTGTTATAAGTAATGGCCAATCAGGTTTATTTTTCTGAAAGTCTGCAGTGGTGGATTTACTTAGATTAAAAATGTATTAAATCCAGATTGGTTTTGATTAACTCAGAACCATTTGATCCATAACAGCCAAACTGGCAAAGCTGTCTGGACTGAAGATGCGCTATTATTACGTTTTTTTTTGTTTTTTGGATCTAATCAGTGGTTGATGCTGATTATCTAAAATGGCAATCAGCCTGATTATTAGGATGATTGAATAAGAGAATTAAAATCAAAACAGACGTTAGCAAGATTAGCTTCCGCTCGTGAAAATGGTAACCACCAAAATCTTTGAAAAAAGCAATAATTTTTGTTGCTGGTGTAAACATTACATTTATTTATTTTGCCTCTCTAAAATATTACATGAATAAAGCCTGTCCTTGTTGTTTATATCTGACAGATATTTTCTATCTACATCCATGGCAAAGCCAAACGTTTTTGCTGTTTTTACTGTCAAAACCACAAAAAAAGACAAGTATTAAAGTTGCTTCAAAGAACAAGTGAATGTGTATCAAATACAATCTAACATTCTTCATTTAGAGCCAAAAAAAAAAAAAAAATCAAAATGTTCTGGACAGAAATAAAACACTGAAAAGATTCTCATATTCTGTAACAGTGTGTAACTCCTGGGAGGTAACACACACCCCAACACTGGCCTACAGAGTCCATACAGACACGACATCAAGACACTTTGTTCTGCCATGATGCACATGAACTTCTTATGTGCTGCATACAGCTACGTGCATTTACCATGGCCTCAGTCTGCATCGATGGTTGAGTAGACATTATTCTCACAAAAAGGCCAGAGTAAGACCATCACACTGCACTAGACAGTTCTTAAGTTTGACCCAGACTGTGAGTCACTGTGTAAAGTCTGATTGAGGCAGCAGGACTACTTGTATTTAAACAGCAATCAGTCATTGGATGAGGAACTCAGACAAGGTCCCCCAGCGCCCCACACTACAGCTCCACCAGGGACCCCAGACCCTGCCACAAAAGTTATTGCTTATACCTTCTCTATTTAGTCCAGTTTTATTCTTTTCTAAGAGCTTTAGGGACCCAGCCTCAATGTTTAACAAGAGTACTGCATACAGCACATTAGACGCTCGTCGACAAACTATTATACAGCAAAACAGTAGTCTAGAGAAATGGCCTGGGCAAGCAAAGACCTTGTATAACATCTGACCTTGAAGCTGGGGTTATACGAGACACTCCACTAAGTAATGATGCACAAGTGTACACAATTTAATTAAATTATCTTGTGTGGATCAGAAGCTATGGCCCAGAAACAAGAAAGTTTACGAATATACAGACGTACAATCACACAGAGCCTATTTCATAAAACGTCGCACTGTTAACAGACATAATAAAACCTACATGTCAGTTTTTCTGTGGACTTCAAGTTCTTTTCAGAAGTTGACAACATGACACACTAACCTGGTGGTTTGAGCCGAACTTTAAAAGTGTGGGGAGGAAGTCCCTTTGTTCTGTGCAGATGTGAGTGGTCGTGAGTAAAAGGTGAAGAGAGGATTAAACTGCATGTGTGTGTAAAACAAAAAGACTACCATGCAAATTAATCAGCAGCTCAAAGGTCTAACAGCTGATCTTCTGGGGCCAACTGAACACCAGTTTCTCGACACTGACCGCCTGCGTCAGTGGCAGACAACTCTTGAAGATAACCGTAGAGCCTTTTTACAGAAATCATTTGATGACTGTTGGTAGAAACGTGTTCAGTCTGTCGTTACTGAAACAACTAAATCTGAGTATTTCTCTTGTCTTGATTTAATAACTGTGTGCGAGCGATGGTGCATCAACTTACAGTCACCTTCTCTAAATCTGCTTCGGAGGATGTGGGAGACAGGGGGCTGATGGGACTGAGGGAGGGGGAGCTTCCAACACTGGAGACCCAGTCAGGATCAGGAACGTACAGAACCTGCAGACACAACCCATGTTTGTATTTACACAGTTGTTGCCCTTGTGCAAACGTGCACCGCACCACATGCACGACAACAGACGGAACATTTCTCATGCACAGCACAGGAAGAGGTCTGACAAGACAAATAATATGAAATCACGTGAGCGGTCTCATGTTATTAACAGGTAAAAACAGAGAGGGAACGTGACAACAGGTGTGAAAATGGGCAGTGATTAGGTGTAAAGTGTGGATTTTGTAGTTAGGAATTTAGTTCATGCTAGCATTTATTTTATTTTTTGTATTTATTCATTGTTTATTCTTTCGGCTGCTCCCTTCTTCAGGAGTCGCCACAGTGAACTAAGTCGCACGAAGACTTGGCCATTACTTTTACACTGGATGTCCTTCCTGACAGGTGTGGGTGCTTCACCTTTCCCACCCACGTATTGATGTTGTCAGTACCGGGAGTTGAACCGGCGATCTTCCACCTTCTCTAACCTCTGCGCCACCACGTCCCTTATTTATTTTATTCATTTCTAGGGCTGATTATTATATTTATTATTAATGAAGCTGTGTATTATTTCCCCAATAAATCCATTTCCTGTTTGGTTTCTGAAATGTCACAAAACAGCCAAACAGTCACACTGCAGTTCCCTGAACACAGCATGGCCTTTAGCTGTTTTATAAACCATTCAGAGTAAAAACTCATGGTGACTGTGAGCGCTGTCTGCTGTGTGATGCAGCCACAAAGAAGCTAACAGGCTAACATAGTAATATTTTACATATTGTCCAAATTGAAACTTTACAAAGTCATAAAAGTTATAATTTGAAATGCACTTTTAGCTGTTGAGTCAACATCTGAGGGATAAAATCCAACCAAAGTGCACACGATTTAAAGTGAATGTCTGAGACTGCTAGCTTCGTCAAAACCTAACTTAGACAAATTAGAAATTCTTTGATTGGAAAGTGAACTTGTTTAACAGTAAATAAAAGTTTAAACTGACTAAATAAATACATTACTTTGATCTGCTTAACCTGAAAACACGAGTGCAAGCTCTCAAGTTGTTGTTTCACATAACCTGAAGAGTTATTGATTGCTGGACAGTGTCAGGAACATCCTGAAACTTTCTGAACATTTTTGGTAAAGCTAAAATAAAAGGTTGCCTCAGATATAAATAATTAAAAGATGTAAGAGCACTCTCTGAGCTTCACACTGAGGTAGAGTGTAGTTCCTCCCCGTCTTCAGCCCATTATGCTCAGCAAACTGCTTGTTGCCTCATATTTGAGCTACAGATGTAAAAGAGTGAAAAGGGCTGTGGATAATGTGACTTCAGCAAATAATTTATAAAACCAATATCACAGACTGTTAAGTCTTTAAGTTTGTATGCAGTTATCAAGGTGGGTATTTTGCTAACTGAGCTGTATCACCAGGTAATACTTCTCACTTTGAATTAGGACATGGCTAACACTTCTCATTTGTATTTTACAAAAGTTTCTTTTTAGTCGTGATTTTCTGACTTGAATTGGGAAACATGTGGGTTAAGATATTAATCTGGCCAAAGCTTTTCTGGTAAGAACAAAAGCTTTGATTTGTTACTAATTAACTTCAGTCTTGGTTGTGAAAGTGGAAAAAGAGAAGAGATGACGGCTCAGTGAGTGTCGTCACCGCATCCTGTTTGCACAATGCTAAACTCGGCTGCTGAAAGCTAAGAGGTGGGGGACGACTGCCAGCCGGACTGGCTACGGCTCAGGCCCATTCCACCGGATTTGATTTTCATGCCAGGAAATAAAGACAAAATAGAAATACTGGAAGTCTGCCAAAAAAAAAAAAAGGAGAAAGAATAACCAAATCCAGATTTTGGGAGTATTGCTGAAAAACAAAAGGACAAAGATCAAAGCTAGGGGCGTGTTTGGCAGACTGAAGTGGGAACTACAGCGTCACGGGTTGATTTTAAGCATCATTGTATTTTTTAGAAACAAAATGGGATGGAATGAACTGGAGTCTAATGGGACAAATGACACTGTAATTAGGCAAACAAGAGAGACAGGGATGCAGTTAATGAGTCAGAGAGTTGCCTTTAGCAACATCATGAAGCACCAGAATGAGCATGTGGTGTTAGTGAGTGGCTGTAGACGGGACAGTGATGCTGCGATGACGCTGGACCGATCAGTGAAGGCGTGCGCGGGTGTTCATACCTGGCCAGGCACCACTGCTCTGGAGAACAACTTGTTCAGCTGAACCAGCTCGTTGGGTGTGGTGTCAAACTTGAGCGAAATGCTGTTTAACGTGTCTCGCGATTCCACCTGGACCACCAAACAAGAGAGAAGACAAGTTACACTGCTGCTCCTGTTTGAGGTTTCTCCTGCAAGCTGCACGGAACAAAGACGAGAGAAGGAGACACAGAAAACAACTGTAGTCGAGAACGGTAAAGGCTTTGAGCTGCCTCGAGTGCTGCATGTTGGAGTTTGGGATGCTATTCAGATTACAGTTGTCAGCTGTTGAGCAGAAAAAGAGGGTCAAGGCTGCTGGAAGCAACTTAAAATGACATGAATGTCTGCCGTGATCTTATCAAGCCAGTGCAGAGCAATGTTTTCTCAACTAGAAAGAAGAGAAACAATTCAACAGATAAAACAACAGGGCAAAAACAATGGTATTTGTTGATTTATCCCCCCAATATTGAGAATTGGACAATCTATTAAGTTGTAAAATACAAAATAAATCAAGGAAAAGCTGCACAACCAAGCAAATTTCTTCAGCTCCATGACTCAACAAACCATTCAACCAGAACATCTTTAGTCCATCCACCCATCAGCAACCAACGTTACAAACAGCAGAACAGCTCAAAGAACCGCAGTCAAACTGACGGCAGCGTTTGCATCTTCTGACACTTGAACGTCCACGCTGGGAAGCTCATCAAAAATACTCGCCTTTACTTGCCATTGTTTATTAGGCAAAATAAAAATTTACGGACCGATAACACATCGTACAGCACACAAAGAGTTAGAGAGTAATACACACAGGACTTCTCAAGATGGCTGGCAAAAATGTTGCATAGCTAGTATCAGTAGGCCATTCTAGTGTTCTTTTAGATCAGTGGCTTTAACTCCGCCCACAGTCTCAAGTCACAGTCTTTAACAGTCTCTGCCCACTGTGTTTTACTTTAACGTGGTTGGCAGCTGTTTGTCTGCCCACTGCTCCACCTGAGTGTATCTCTGGGGCGATGGGTTAAACACCGACAACCAATTTCAACAACACGGCACGTATACTCAGGGGTGGAAGTAATGAATTACAAATACTAATGTTACTGCAATTAAGTAGATTTTTTTGAGTACAAGTACTTTTATGAGAATTTCTGTCAAGTGTGTAATTTTACTCACACTTAAGTACAGTTTAGACCATGTAATCTACTTCGCCACTTTTAAAATCAGAAGTCGCCACCGAGTACGGCCACTACTTGAATTATTATTCAAACCGTTCATCTGCATCTTTGTAGCCAATAAGGCTCTCAGATCGCGAACGCGCCAATTACCTATTTGTAAACAAAGGACAACTCTGTAGAGTCATTTATGGACCGAAGATTTGGAGAAAAAGCCAAAATGGAGACAGAGGACAAACTGTGAACAGAGAAAATGACGAGGTAAAGGCTGAGGAGGAGTGTCTGCGGCCGTACCTGGAGGAATGCTTCATGTACAGAGGGTGAAACGCAGACAGGTCCAGATGAAAACTGTGTTTGATCTCTACGGTGACAGCAGCTTACAAGACTTCAGCATCTAATCTCAAAAAACATATTGTGGTAGTGGTGGGCGGATCGATCCAAATATCGAGAATATCAATACAAACACTGGTATTGATATTGATCAATACCAGTGTAATGCGATGGATACGTTAGCTTCAGTTTCTCTCCTGCACTGCTGCGGTTTCATCGAAGATGAGCCGACGGTCTGGAAGTGCTGCTCCTGTCACTTTGCAAAGACAGGCAGGGCCCACAGAGAGGCTTCTGGGAATACTTCTTTGAACTCAAGGCTTTGGAGGTTGTGTTGTTATTTACTCTATTTATTGTATTTTCACTAATTATTTTTGATTTGTAATTATTTTTTCAAACCCAGAAAAGAAATTCACTTAAGAGGAGACATTTTGTTTTAATCCTTTATATCCTAAATATATTTGACAGTTTTATAACGTTTGTTGCGGTGTGATAACTTTGTATAGTTTGTTTACTTATGAAAAAAAATCCAGAAAAGGAGTGCAATGAAGGGATAATTTTTATTTAATTATCATAGTTTCTGAACGCAATGTTTTCATTTATTCTTGAGTGATCATTTTGTGCACTTTGTTTAAGGAAAAAAAATAATCCAGCCTTGGGGGAAATTGTTTTTTTACTGTTCTATTTTTTTCAGAAAAAAAAAAAAAAAAACGTTTATTATAATAAGGTATTTTTCATTTACTTATAAACTTTGCCTAATTCTATAAATGATCCGAAGGAAAAATCACAAAACACTTAAACGTCATCAAAATTCACCGTAGTTATCGGCCATGCTGGACCTGTATTTATTTGGTATCGATCAATACCAAATTTTGCAGTATCGCACAACACCATATTGTGGTATACGAGGTTTTACAACTACATGTATGATATTGCTTTTTTATTGTTTGTATGTGTGGGTTATTAGTTTGGCTAAGTAAGCAAAGATCTTAGATATTGTCGCTGCCATCGGTTTGCCTGGTACTAAAATAAGACGGAGCTTCTGAGTGTCTGAGAAATGTGCTTTGAATGTAGCGATTGTTCATTCAACCTTTATTTAACAGCAAAAAAGGTTGAATCATGTCATCTGGACTTCGTTTTTTTTGTTAAAAAAGAAATGTTTCGCCCCTCATCCAAGAGGCTTCGTCAGTCTGAGGCCTAGCCATCTGGTATTACCCAGAAGCCACCCTG